AGTTATTGTTAACAGTAATCGATGAAATATCTAAGGGAAATGTAGCGCACTACAACCTGGTTAACAAACTGCGCAGAAGGTTAGTATTAGGGATAATGAACAATCCCTACCGCATGTTATTGGCCCGATAATGGGAACGCCTGGTAACCGGCCTCGATTACCAGGCTATAAGGTTACTGGGCTGTTAACGGGCTAGGGTCGTTAATCGGCCAGTTACCCGTAATCAGGCTCCATTACCAGGGTGGTTTACCAGGGTCGTTTATCGGGCGGCCAGTTACAAGTTACCCGGTAATCAGGCAGCATTATCGGGTGTTTACCAGGTCCTTTATCAGGCGGCCAGTTACAAGAATGTCCCCGGTAATGGGGCAATAACATAGATATTATCAGGACGTTAACCGACCAAACTCTTACGCATTAAACAGCGATTACCAGCTTCATAGCGGGTTCATATTATCCTACACAAAGCATTGCCCAATGGCCTACTACAACCTCCTCACATCTCTCAATCGGTACCACGAGGACTATAGGCCCTTCTTTAGTCAACATTAAGAATCACTTGAAACTGCAGGCTGTCGCGTCATACGACTGTAGCACCGAACAAAACACGTGCGTACGGCAGACTATAAAAGACGATTATAAAAGACGGTAAAATGAACGTGACGCTAAAATGTCGTGACAAGGCGCCCTCCAGGTTCCTGATCACTGCCCGCGGTCTGCTACCTCCGCTGCTTCTTCAGTCCCCCCTTCCGAATCTCCGCCATGGCCTTCTTGCCCTTCTCCTGCGGCACCTTAGCCCCACGGGTCTGTACAGCTCGGCCTTTACCGACACCAAACGATTCCCTCCTCTTTGCGGGGTTTGACGCTGTTGCCCCGAAAGCCGAAGGGTCCTCCGGCAACACCAGTGGGGTTTCCTTAGGGCGTGGACGCTTGGTTCGTGCAGGCACCACCATGCCCACCGTTTCTTGGCTCTCCCGCGCCTTCGCCGAGGGTTGCCTCAGGCGCGTGGGCCGCCCTCTGGCATCCAATGCCCCTACAAAAAGTGAGAGTGATTCATAAATTAATTTTTATATGAAGTCGTAATTTATTGCCTTGTTGTTAGTAAGTTCCGTGTGTAGTCATAATTTATTGTCATGTTGCAGCTACAATTTACCTTTGTCATGTTTTCCGGTCACCAGGACCTTGCGGCGCCCAGTTGGTTGAGGCGCGGACTTGCTGTGGACCTTCTGGCTCTTGCTTCTGCCGTACTCCTCGAGCAGGGCTTTGCCCCCCGTCCCCTCGTCATCCTCCCCTCCCTCGTCCTCCCCTCCCTCATCCTCCCCTCCCTTGTCCTCCCAGTCCTCGTCCTCCCCGCCCATGTAATCCCCGCTCTCGTACGGCCAGTCCCCGTCCTCCCCACCCTCATCCTCCCCGCCCTCATCCTCCGCGCACTCGCCCTCGCCCTCGTCCTCCCCGCCCTCGCCGTCGTCCTCCCCGCCCTCGCCCTCGTCTTCCCTGCCCTCGCCGTCGTCCTCCCCGCTGTAGTCCCCATCATCTCCCTCATCCCCATCCTGGCGGCTGCTCTTCTGGCCGAGGGGCTCCTGCTGCGTCTCCATAACGTTGGCCTGGCCTGGGGGGTTGTACATTTTGTTGTGAAGTTAGGAAGGGATACAAGCAACATTATGTATTGCATGACAGGGAAGTTTCAAGTAGTTAATGTACATTACCTTCATGTCTGAACTTAGTAACAACGCGTGGGTATTTAGCTTTTACTGAGCAGTGGCATTCACTTACCCTCCGTTGCCGCCGTGTGGTTGCTCTTCTTGCGTTCCTGACCTGCAAAAGAGAACACGGAGGCACAGATTGCAAGTGAGGTTGAGGTCGTCTTGAGGTTGAGGAAACGTCCACGTTTTTCCTTTGCATGCATTACCTGCTGGCTGAGTGCTGCCCTCGACATGGGCAGTCACCCACTCCTTAAAGAGCTCGGTCGCACGGACGGCGTCCATGGTCGCCACGGTCTCGAGCTTAGCCTTGTCTGCAGTCGTCAGTCCGATGGCCTTGAAGAAGTCCAACTTCTTCTTCTCTGCATGCATCGGCATCCGAAATGCGGGTTACTCAAACCCTAACGTAAAGATCAGCACTGTGGGAGTGTGAGGTGTAACGCACAGTTTGTTTGAATATCGTTTGGTTTCCGAAACATCACCCTGGCTACCTGACTGATGGTTGACCATCGCGTTCTGCAGCTTCGTCTTCAAGGCGTCATAGACAGCGTCGTACATAGCCTTGTCTTCCTGCTGAAGCTTTGACAGGCTCTCTCCAGTCAGTGACTTGAAGAGCGCCACCATCCACCGCTTCCCCAAGTTCTTAAGGTCAACAACGTCGGTTGTCTTTTTCACCGCGCCCTTAAGCTTGTCCTTCTTCGCCAGTGCGGACGACAGGGTGTCCCAGGTAACCCCAAG